GTTCTCATGGGTCTGGGTCTGGGTCTGGGTCCCCCAACCCAACAAAGCCCCCCCCCCCCCCCCCCCCCCCACAAGCGCCTGGGGCCCCCTCCCCCCCCTCCCCTTTGACCCGTGGGCCTCCCCCACCCCCAGGGTGAGGGGGCTGGGGAGAACCAGTGCGCTGGAACCATTGCCCTTGGCCACCCCCCCCACCCCCCGCCGTGTGCCCCTTTTTCCCCCCCCCCCATTTGCGACATTTTGCCCCCCCCCTTTCCCTCCCCTTTTTAAAGGCGCGGGGCCCCCCCATTTTTTTAACTTTTGTTTATCCCTTCAGCTCTCTGTCCCGGCATTCTTCGTCTTGTCGCAACTGTTCAGGTGGCCGACTCGTACCCACCCTGTCGCTGGACTAAGAAACCCGAACCGAACCGACCAGGCCATCTCTACCTACCTACGTACCCGTTCAAGGAACGCCTCTGCTTGACTTTACCTTTGTCCATGGGGAATAGCCCACCACCCTACGTTTCCGGATGAATCGAGTCGAGAACAGCTTTCCACCTGACCCGGTCAAACCATAAAGTCAACCCGCCAACGCATCTCGTTGCCCTGCTTCAATCTATTTCCTCCCCCGTGCCCCTCCTCGGACAACGCCCATTCACGACGACTCTACAGCCCCCAGTCGCCAACTCACTCCGCCAGCCTCGTTCACTCACCCCGTCGCCATGGCCGTCGACCCGCCCCATCAGCCGCCGCCGCCACCGCGTCCCTTGGATCCATACGCATTCACATTTGAGTCCATTCCTGACAGGAGGTCCGTGAGCAACAACTCACACCTCGAGCCAGATTCCGATGTGCGTTCACTCGTCTCCAACTCATTCTGCTGGGCATACCCCATCGACTCGGTAAACTGACATGGAACCCACAGCCCGGCTATGATGACGAGTATGAACCATGGCCCCTATTCTCCGGCTGGCTTTCTGCACCGGCCACCCCTTTCGAGGATATTTGCAATTGCTGACGCTGAGCAGAGGATCAGAATCCATCACCGACAGCATCGCCAACTTTCCTCAGCGATTTGGACGCACTTATCATGCTTACCAAGCCGGATGTACGTGCTGCTGATTCTAGTGTCCGCCCCCTTTTCTGTCGTGCTTTACTCATCTGACCTTACACAGCCTACGTTTTCCCCAATGACGATGTGGAGTGTGAGCGTCTGGAATTGCAAGGTCTTGTCATGACCGAGTTATTCGGCGGCAAGTGGTTCCTCGCCCCTTTCCCGGCCGAACGGCCACCGACCCGCATCCTTGACGTAGGTACCGGCACTGGCATCTGGGCCCTAGAGATGGGCGACAGGTTTCCCGAGGCCCGCGTCTACGGCATCGATTTGTCACCCATTCAGCCTACTGCAGTGCCATCGAATGTGCACTTTTTTGTGCAAGATGCGTGAGTTGGCACCGAACGCGCCCCAGATGCTGCTTGCGCTAACGTGCTGCGTTCAACAGGTCTGAGCAGTGGGATTGGAGGGAGCCTCTCGACTTTGTCTTTGTGCGCGGCGGTATCGGGTCCTTTGCGAATTTCAAGGAAGAGATTGTGCGCCAGGCTTTTGACAATCTGGAGCCAGGCGGCTGGTTCGAGACGCAAGACTTCAACTGCGACAGCCAGTCAGACGACGGAACCCTGCTGCCCGACAGCGCTCTCCAGCGATGGTTTGACGATATGAATGCGGCCAGCGAGATAATACACCGGCCTCTATCACAGGCTCACCTGGCAAAGAACTGGCTTGCCGAAGTCGGGTTCGTCGACATTCATGAGAAGTGCTACAAGATCCCCCTCAACGGTTGGGCTAAAGACCCCCGCTACAAGGCACTCGGCAAGCTCTGGGAACAGAACTGGATGAGCGGGCTTAGCGGATGGAGCATGTCGCTCTTCACGCAAGTCCTCGGGCGAACCCCGGAGGAGGTTGAGGTAAGACTCTTGCTGCCCGGTGCACCAATAACCCCTAGTGTGATTCGTTCGGCTGACGGTACTGCCAGGTCTCCTTGGTCGATGTGCGAAAGGACTTCAGCAACCCCTATATTCATGCCTACCAAAGGGTCTATGTTGTCTACGGCCGGAAGCCGTTTCCTCACGAGGTGGCAGGGTATACGGGCGACCACGAAATGACCTGCTGAGCGGACTGTTGAGCAGGGATTCATAACAAGTCTCGGGGAAGGACGGAAAGATCGGCCACATTGCTTTACGGGTCCTTTTGATTGAGGAAGGCGTTGCGAGGTTTCATGGCACTGGGTAGCCAGGGTGCATTGCGACAGGTCTGGCATGAATGATTCGGAATGTTTTTTTATCAACGAAAGACGGGGCACGATTGGACGGTCGGACTTGTGCTTTGGCGGACTGCTGTCAACAGCAGTCGATAGATGTCTATTACGCGGGTATTGGGGCATACCACGTGTTATTCAATTTGACCTGGGAAATGGAGATTCCGGAAAACAGGAAAAACGTCAAGTGAAAAATAGGCGCATGTTCGTAGTACGTTATGTGAAGCAATTGATTTCTCGCGAGGCAGACACTGGCAATCTGGGTTCTCTTCCCTCGGAGGGCTGATGCGGCACATCCCGACCTGACGGTACGGTACGGTACGGCACGGCAAGTGACCAACGGCAGACAGGGAAGTGAAAAAGGCCTGCCCAATCGATCAAGAAAAAAAAAACAAATCGACTTCTGGGGTGCTTGACGCCAGGGCTTGGGGGCCGCCCGGGCGAACCAACCGCTCGGGATGAACTGCGACTCGCCGTGCCAACAGACAGCGGTCTCGCTCTCGGATGGTGTGAAGAATGAGACGCAGCAGGGTGGCTGCTGTTTGTGGCTGGTGTCCTCAGACCGGGGCTGCCATGGTGTGCTTATGTAATCCTAACGTTCTCTTATCGTTGTCATGCCTCCTGCCCACAGTCCACGGCTGGCTGGCTGGCTGGCTGGCTGCCTTGAGGCCATCGCAGCATCTACGCCAGTCTGTTTTCATTCACCGCTGTCCACGACTCTTCTGTGTCTTTCTCTCTCCAGGCGCTCGGCTCTTGATTCTGTCTGCCTCCATCAGGCCCTTCACCTGAGGTCCTCGAGACCGCCAACGATGAGCGCCTACCGCGCGTGCCGGCCCCTTGCGCCCATCCTTCGAACCCCCGGCCCCGTGCCTCGATGCGTCCCCCGACCGCGATACCCCCCGACCCAAGCGACTTTGACGGCCGCACGAAGGCTCTTCTCCCACGGCCCCCGCCGGCCCTGGCTCCACAACGACGCACACGACCGCCTGCGCAGCGCGCGTCCCATCTTCACGGCCGACAATGTGCGGCGCACCGTCCGCAGCCCGCGCACGCACACGGTCGTCGTCGTCGCCGTGCTCGCGGCGGGCGGCTTCTACTTTTCGAACCTGCAGACGGTGCCCGTGTCGGGCCGGCGGCGCTTCAACTGCTTCGCCGACGAGACGGTCGCCGAGCTGAGCGCGCAGCAGGTCAGGCAGATTGAGCTCGAGGTCGAGCGCCAGGGCGGCCGCTTCCTGCCGGCGTGGGATCCCAGGACGAGGCTCGTCGAGCGGGTCATGGCCCGGCTCATTCCCGTGTCCGGCGGCGGCGCGCTGCCGCGGGACGAGCACGATGGTGCCGGGCCTGCGCCGCACGATACGTGGTGGGGCGGTGGCCAGGAGGGCGATGGGGACAAGAGCAGCAGCAGCAGCAGCAGCAGCAGCGGCGGCGGCAGCAAGGTGGACTGGGAGATCCGGGTCATCGACGACCCCAACACGATGAACGCCTTTGTGCTGCCGGGCGGCAAGGTGTTTGTGCACAGCGGGATCCTGCGGGCGACGCGGACCGAGGCCGGGCTGGCGGCGGTGCTGGGCCACGAGATTGCGCACAACATGGCGTCGCACGTCGGCGAGCGCATGAGCGGGTCGATCGGCATCAACATTCTGCTCTACAGCTTCTACGCCCTGTCGTACGCCATCCCCGGCGGCATCTTCCTCATCCACTCGCTCGGCGGCGGGCTGCTCGACATGGTGTTCTCCATGCCCATGAGCCGCATGCAGGAGAGCGAGGCCGACTACATCGGGCTCATGCTCATGGCCGAGGCGTGCTACGACCCGCGGGAGGCCGTCGGCTTTTGGCAGCGCATGGAAGCCGCCTCGCGAAGTCAGGGCGAGGAGGTGCCGGAGCTCATGAGCACGCACCCGTCGGTGAGTCGACCCCTGGGTGCTCGATTGTGTGACATGATGTTGTTTTTGTGTGATGACTGCTAACGTTCTGCTCCCCCCCTTTTTTTTCTCGCGTCGCAGAACCAACATCGTATTGAGAAGATTCAGAGCTGGCTGCCCCAGGCTCTGGAGAAGTTCCAAATCAGCGACTGTCAGGGCACGTCGGCGTTTGCGGATGCTTTCCGACGGGCTCTCGAGCGTGGCACGCAATTCCAGACCATTTACATGTGAAGGACGGCTTGAGCAGGATTGGCGTTGAAAGGGTTGGAAAGGCGCTGAATGGGTGGGATACACGGCGTTCAAGATGTACAAACTCAATTCCACCCGCACCACAATGCGATTCATTGACCCCAGCACCATGATCGACAAATGTGACCTGCCCTGGCCTTCCGCCGTGGCAAGCCTGGCCAGATGCCCTAGCAAGCCTGACCAGATGCCCTAGCAAGCCTGACCAGATGCGTCCCGGCTGGCCCGCATGATTAATGGCGACCATGTGATTGGCACCCCCAGGCCGCCAACCTCGCCCCCCCAGATGACGCATCCACAGGGGGCCCCCACACAACTGTCCTCCGCCCAGAGATGAGCCGAGGTAACTGGAAGCACGCCGTGTTCGAGTGCTGATCGACCTCATCAACACAAGCATAGCCGCGGACCAACCTAACGACATTCTGTCACTTCACTCCATTCTTCACCGCAACCAACACACTCACACACATCGATCCTCCATCAAATCCTCGGAAGAGCGATTTCACCTCATTCACCACCCTTTAGAACCCCTCAATCCCATCCCATCCCGTCCCGCCCGCGCCCCACCGTCACAATGTCCAAGTCATTCACCACCGCCGAGGTCGCCAACCACAAGACCGAGAAGGACATGTGGCTCATCGTCGAGGACGGCGTCTACGACATCACCGGTACGATTCCCCTCCCCACCGAACGACATCCCCCAGGCCAGCAGACAAGCCAGGCTAACTCGGCCGCAGCCTTCCAGGAGGAACACCCGGGCGGCGCAAAGATCCTCAAGCGCTTCGCCGGCAAGAACGCCACCAAGGCCTTCTGGAAGTACCACAACGAGCACGTCCTCGAGAAGTACGGCGGCAAGCTCAAGATTGGCACCGTCAAGGAGGCTGCCAAGCTGTGATTGTTCTCTCTCTCTCTCCCTCTCTCTCTTGTATTTTCGAGCTTGGCCGTTGGGAGCGCATTGGGAAGCTACTGGCAGGGCGAAGCTGGCATCGATTCGGATAGGGGCTCGGATGGATGGGCTACATGCAGCTACGGCTGTCATTTTGAGACGATATTGACTTTTTTTTTTTTTTTTATAATTTCGACGACAATCGCCTCACCCATCTTGGTCCTGTGTTTTGCAACCCCATGCACTTGACAGCAGACACCGCTTTTGATAAGAAAGGCACAGTTGATGCAGCGCAACACGTCGAAAGGGGACCAAAACCTCACATGGCAATACACACCACAAGACCCATCAGAATAAGCTTCACTCGGCTTCTTTATTACCCTAACCCTCCTGCGTAGCGCGAGAGGAGCCCTCGCAGCCCCCTTCCTCCGCCCTCCGCGGCGCGCCATCCAACATCAAACTTTGCCATCCAAACTCGAGGGGTATATGGTGAAGTACAGTCATGGTCGTACAAAAACAAAGCAAAGGGAGGTTTGGCGAGAATGGCCTGGTAGTATATATATACGTCGAGGGGTGGGAGAGGGAAGAGGGTTGGGTGCCTGGGTGTCAAACCCACCCGTCCTTCCATGCAGCGCAATGCAAATCACTTTCGTTCCGTCACTTCGTAACCGTTCATCCTCATAAAAATCAAGGGGCAGGCAGGCGCTCGTGCCGGTGCGTGCTCCTCGCTCAGTAGTCTCCGACACCGTCGTTGTAGCTGCCCCCGGCTGGGCTCGTCGTTCCGCTGTCGTTGGCGCTCCCGTTGCTCGACACGTAGCTCTGGTCGATTCGGAAGATCCAGTCCATCTTGTCACGTTCACTGCGAGCCGCAAAGAGCCACGTGTTGTCTGTCGCATAGATGGCGAACACGCCCGCCTGCAGCCTTTCGCTGAGCCTCTGCATCCCTCCGCTGGGTCCTCCGCCGCCGCTGCCCGTCCAGATGGTCGAGATGATCCGTCCGGATGATGTGCGCCTATGGCTCGGCCGGAAGTCCTCGCCGCCACCATGGGCATCATCTTTGGCCGTTGGCGCTGCCTTGCAACAAGCCACCACCCCTGGTTGGCTGTCGATCCCGGGAGTTCCGGAGACTGACAATGCCCACTTCGTCGCCGTCTGTGGCCGAATGAATGTGCAGGTACGGCCTTCGAAGTTCGACAAAACGCTTGACCCAGCGCGTCGAGTTGCTGTTGGGCACCAGAAGATAACCTCCCTTCAGGACCTTGGGATTCTTCGGCACCTTGATGATCGTCGTCACCAGGGTTCGTGGCGCGGCCGACTCGCTCGTGACGCCATTCGCTGGCGGGTCCGTGTTCGTCGGGCTCAGGATGCGAAGCAGAGGGTCCGGGTACCTGGTCCAAAGTTTGACGCACCGCTCCAGTAATGTCTTCTCCTGGTCCGAGAAGCCAAAATCTTCTTCAGCCGGCTCGACTGGCGCAGGCGTATCCGTACCGTCACCCTCTTGAACACCGTCCTCCATGTCTTCATCGTCGTCGACTGGTATTTGCGAGCTTTCAGGCGTATCGTTGAGAAGGTCATCATCATTCGGTCGGATCGGCTCGTCCGGGATCGAACCCACGAGAGAGACATTGTCGGCAGCCTGTTCACGCGGTTCTGGTAGACCAATCTGGTTGAGAAGAAGTTGGACTGCCCCAATCTCCGTAATGCGACGTCTCTTCTTCCTTGCTACGATGTAGTCACTCACAAGAGACACGCCACGAGGCGTCCAGGTCGTCAACTGTTCCTCTCCTTTGACGTAATCGTGCTGACTGTTCATTCTCCAGAGATCCCCAGCCCGCTTGATCGGTGCTGGACGAACCGAAAGGGTGAAGATGCCAGTTGCGGAATGGACGATCCGGATGCTCTGCCAGAGGGACGACAATATCGACGTTTGGCGCACGTATGATCGTGACATGATCTGGCAGCAGACGTTCAAGGAGAAACGCATTGGCTCCACAAACTTCTCCGACTTGATCTCCCAGGCCACTGTCATCTGCACCCGGTACTTCTCTGCTGTCACTCTGTCCAGAAGCAGAGAGTTGTGCAGACTAGAGTCCCATTGGCCTGTGAGTGTGATATCCCGCGTGCCGTTTGCGTTGTTCCGGAAGACGGGCTTCGATGCAAGTTTCAGCGTAATGTCAGGAGATGGTGTTCCCATGTCGGGAGATTTTCCGGCTTGGTCGAGCAGCTGGATTTTACCCACTCTCACAGAGTTGGCGTCATCCCAGGGCAGGGCATCTCCAGAACTGTGCGTCAGGTTGATCGTGATGCGTCGTTGCAAGCCCTGGTGAAGCTGAAAAGTTCCACCGTCCATCTCGTTGGTCTGTATGACCTCTACAGGGACATACTGGCCTTCTTCGTTGAGTTCAAGGAGCTGGATGCGTGCCAGGAGATCATGCTTTTCCTCCGTGTAGAATTGGGACTCGGCGATCCTAGCTCCCTTGGGCTTACCCTGGGCAACAGGCACGGCATCGCGCATGTCGTCCCAGCTAAGTAATTTGTCGAGATGCATCGTCGAGACTTTTGCAAACACTGCTGCCCTGAGCGTAATTGTTGATGGGCTGAACAGTGGGATCGTCATGCTGTGGACGCTCTCGAATCGGATCGGCCCTTCGTCAAAATCCTTGATCATCTGCGTTGTCGTTACTCCGTCCTCTTCGGACACACCAGGGATGAACAGCTGCGCATGCACCTCGGTGCCCTCTCGTTCGGCAAAACCGACCATTTCGTGCATAACCACGTTAAACTTGAGGGTATTCGTGGGAGCTCGAGCATGCGACGGCTCCAGCGAGAGTCTGATAATACCGATGGCATGGGATGTGTGAGGAGAAAGTACATCCAAAGCAAAGTCCTGCACTCGGCTTTCAAAGACCGCCCGCAGCGGCACATCAACTTCTCCGACCAGTGTGTACTGCGGCATACAATTCTCGACGAACGGGTTGTCGAGGCTGAGATGCTGAGCGTATTCGGGCTGATCCAGATACTGATGCATCTGACGCATCTGTCGTACACGATCATGCAGCTTCTCCACACTCCACAAATGGACGACGCTGTTCTTGTAATCGATGACTCGCACACCGATACAGGGCTTTGGTGCTTGCTCAAGGGCAACATCGTCACCCTCACCCGTGAGCCCGTTCAGGACCATGTCGTAAGACGAGCAGAGTGAGTGGCCTACATCCACAACACTGAATTGAAAGACGACATGCTCGTCGAGCTCATTGCTCATGATTTGCGCTTCCTTGAGCGTTGACGCGTGCTGGAGGACGGCCTCGGCCATCCGCACATGTCTCTTGCTCTTCCAGTGGCGGATCACTTCAGCAGCGAGCTTGAGCTCTTCCTCCGAGAGCTTTGGGCTTGCCTTTTTCCGTTTCAGGGGATCCATCTTCTCGAGCTTGTCCTCAAATTGTCGGCGCTGAACCTCGAGTTGCTTCTGCATGTCTTCTTTGAGGGTCTTCAGCTTCTCTTCCATCCGTATTTTCTCCTTCTTTATCTCTTCAACTTCGACGTTTGAAGCTTCGGCCGTCTTGAGCTGGTCCTGGTACTCTTCTCTCTGCTTCTCCAGCTGGGACTGCATCTCTTCCCGGGCTTCCCTTAGCTGGTCATCAACTGCGCCTTGCTTGGGCGTTGACGGCATCGTGAGCGCAGTGTCCAGTGAGAAATTATCGATCGTGCCCGCGGATAGGTATTTTTCCCGAATAGGATATGATGTGACGGATTCCGAGTCTTCGTCTCCATCGCGCACATTGACGCGCTCAGCTCTGGCTTTCTGGACATCCTCAAAGAGCGTATTCAGCTCCTCGTCTGTCAACGTCGTCAAGTTTTGGTTGGTGCCCAAGATGGCCTCGGCTGCCTCTCTGCGGGCAAAACTCCAATCAGAGTCTCGTCCATTGCGCGAGAAAGGTAATGGAGACTCCGGCCGACTGTCTCCAAAGTCAGAACCCGCCATACTAATGTTCCTGGTGTGACCTGGTCGAGGGCTCGCCGTGGGCGTGGGTGAAGTTCGGTCAAGGTTTTGAAGTGTGCTGGTCGCGACAGACTGGCGCAACAGGCTCTTATCGGCCCGCTCGGCCTTGGTCTCCATCGGGTTGTTGAATCTGAAGATGTGGAAATCGCCCAAGATCACGCGGTAGCCAGAATGAAGCTTCTTAGGCTCGTCAATACGCTTGCCGTTAACCATGACTGAAGCGCCTTCCCTGGGCACCACGGTGACAGTCCCGTCAGCGGCATTGTCGAACGCGCAGTGGTCGTGAAGGATCCGGGTGCCATTGAGTCGGATGTTGGCTTGGTTATCCGCATTGGTGTCCATGTTGCCAACCGTCGTGGTGCCGGGTTTGAGGTTGTACACCAAACACTCGGCCAATAGTGGATCGTCGGACAAGTTCACCAAATGGGGCATTTTCTTTGGCGTGGAAAGACCAATGAACCCCTTTTCGATGCTGATACCGAGTTCCTCGAGGGCAGCCTCACGCTCCTTGTGAACCTCTTCGGTCTTGGCCAGCTTCTGCTCCCAGGTCTGGTTCAGGTCTGTCAATAACTTTTCGCTCTGGTTCAGCTGCTCGGCAATTTCTGCTTTCGACACCTTCTTGACCGCACCGTCACTAGACGTGATCGAAACAAATTGCTTCTCCAGGGGTGTGCCTTCGGGGTAGACTTCTTCTGCGGTTACCGATGAGCCCACAGCGGCTGCGCCGCTGCTTCCGCCTCCAAGTTGACCTCGGAGCAGCGCGAGCTCCTCCTTGAGCTCCCGGATCATTCTTGCGTTTGCGTCCTCGTTGACCACCGCATGGTTCTTGATTCGCTTGGCGGAATCCGCATAACGTAGCGTACTGAGCGTTTCGTCGTAATTGATGTCTGCTGGACTGATAGCAGCAATCATGGCCGTCATACTGTTGCCACCCAGTGAGTCTTTGAGCAGCCAGGTCAACACACTGTCTCTGTACGGCACTGAGGAGCCGGTGCCCTTCTTCTTCTTTCCGGTCGAGAGATCGGCCAGCGCAGAGATGACACGGCCCAGGGATGAGAGGGACCTGTTGATCTCGGCACCCTCCTTGAGACGCGCACCCGTGGCGCCCGTTGAAGTCGCTCTTTCGGAACCAGCAAGATCCACCAGACTGATCTTGGCCACTTTTTCCATCTCCATCTTTGTTTCCACGTCCAACTTTTTCTGTGTCAGCATCAGGGTGAAAACCGCGTGGCTTCGACTAGACGTTTCGTTCATGTTCGTCGCGGCGACTGTTCGCGCCTTGTTTCCTTCGTCCATGAGGTGTTCAATCTCCTGAAAGCTGCCCACGACAAGCTTGGCTAGATCTTCGACGTAGGGTCCGGTCGACGGATGTTCTCGGACCTTGAGGTTTCCTTTGTTCGCTGGGTTGAGCAGATCGCGGACCCTTTCGTTGTAGATTTCGAGATAGGACACCTCGACGGTGCACTTGAGCGTCTTGTCCTCCTGTAGCTGCGATATCCTCCTGAACATATCTTGGCAGATATTTGGGATGATACCGATCTCTTTACCGTAGCCCATCATGGAATAAGATTTTCCGGATCCCGTCTGGCCGTACGCAAAAATACAGTTGTTGTAGCCTTGGAAGGCATTGTCCAGAAGCGGCTGGCCTAGGTCGTCGAACAGGCTGTCCTGTCCCGCATAGTGCTTGTCTTTTTTCTCAAATGACCAGTAGGACTTGTCAAACGCGAAGACTTTTGGTCCTGCATCTTTCCCAGACGTATGCGGTGAGCTCAGCACCGTCTGGTTGTCTTTCATTTCGACGATACATTTCGAGCCGCGATCCACCTCTGGTCTCGTTAGCCGTCTCAACTCGCAAGAGCTTTCGCGGCGTCGCTCGGAAGCTCGGATGCTCTGTGCTCACCTCTGCCGTTGAAAGGCCGCACTCTCACCACCACCTTGATGTTGCCACCTCCAGCTGGCGGCATGTTGACGATTGGAGTTGCGGGACCAGGCAGGCCCGCTCTCGCTCTTGCTCTCGCACACCGAGTTCGATAGGCGCGTTGCTGCTGGACGAACTGCCGAGAAAGTCTTGAAAGGTCCTCAGCGTATTTCGAGCACCATTCAGCGTCCTGGTGCTGACATTCTCCGGCGGGGACCGAACGGCGAGGGGCGAGGCGTCTCCAGGTTGTTGAGGACCCCCTAACCCAGGGCACAAGCCAACTATTTCCTTACGAGTTGCGCAGGAGTGAAGAAGCGGATGTATATTCTGTCGCCAGAGTCGGAGGGCGTTGGTGGCGCGTAGGAGATGTTGCTGGTGTTTCGGAGCTTGTCTACTCGTGATCCTGGGTAGGCTGTTCGTCTTGTTGGGTGGGCGCCGCAGTCAACAATACTTGTCAACAATCGAGATTGAACGCGTGCCAGGGGGATATTGGCTTGCCTCCAAGCTACAGGGCGCGCAGCCAGTTGGGGGAAAGTTGGGGGTAGTTCACGTGCCAATTTTGTGGGATTGGGCTAATGAGAGACGGGCAAGCGGGGGTGACGTCTGCTGACTCATCGCGGTGCTGTGAGACGGCCCGCTGTAGGTGGTGGGCTGGTGGGCTGGTGGGCAGCGACAGGTACCTTACCTTACCTAGGTACATCTAGGGGGTAGGTACTTAGTTGTACAGGGTCCTATCTGCTGTCCTCGGTGCCGTCTTGCCGTAGACCGATGGCAAGCGTCTACCTTGCTGCGGGAGACCGCCAATAGCTGCTGCTGTGAGCCTCAAGCCAGGCCCTTCATCCAATCCACCTTAGGTACCTACCCTGACAGGACAAACAAAACGACACTGGACCTATCTTACCCCTCAACACCATCTTCTCACGGCCAATGTGGCGACCTTTCATCTCACAGGGCTTCTCTGCTGTCAGAACCGCCGCAACCCTCTTTCCAGCCTTCCGAAGCCACAACTACGCCACCATGGCCAAACGCGATCCCGCTACCCTCTCCAACTACAATGAGTGGATCACCAAGCACACCACTGCCAATCTCTCCATTGATTTCAAGGAGAAGATCCTCAAGGGCAAGGTCTGCCTCGAGCTCGAGTCCTTGACAGACAGACTGAGCAAGGAGATCATTCTCGATTCAAGCTTTGTCAAGGTCTCTGGCGTCAAGGTCGACCAGGCGACCTCTCAATGGCATCTCAAGGATCGGTCCGAGCCCTTTGGCTCTCCTCTTCACGTTTCGGTGCCCGAAGGTGCCGCCAAGGGTGACGTCGTCAGGGTGGAAATCGACCTCGAGACGACGAGCAAGTGCACTGCCGTCCAGTTCCTGACGCCTGCGCAGACGTCGAACAAGAAGCACCCCTACATGTTCACGCAGTGCCAGGCCATCCATGCGCGGTCCCTTTTCCCGTGCCAGGACACTCCTGACGTCAAGTCGACCTACACGTTCAAGATCCAGTCCTCTCTTGCCGTCATTGCTAGTGGCGTCAAGGTCGAGGGCGGCGAGGAAAAGAACGGAGACGAGACCATCTATCATTTCGAGCAGACGGTCCCCATGCCCTCCTATCTCTTCGCCCTCGCTTCTGGCGACATTGCTACGGCTTCCATCGGACCCCGTAGTGTTGTAGCCTCTGGACCCGAGGAGCTCGAGGCGTGCCGTTGGGAGCTGGATGGCGTAGAGCACTTTATCGAAGTTGTTGAGAAGCTCGTGTCGCCATACGAGTGGAAGGAGTTCAACGTTCTCATCCTGCCCAGCTCATTCCCATATGGTGGCAGTAAGCTGACCCCCTTTTCTGCCCCCCCCAGTCCTCTCGCCTCGATACTCAAGCAACTGACGCAACTACTTTAAGTGGAAAACCCCGTATTCACTTACGCCACCCCGACACTGATCAGCGGTGACCGCCAGAATGTGGACGTCATCGCTCACGGTATGGCCGTAGGCCCTTCTCTTACTTTATTGGAACTGTACTGACGTTGCCAGAACTCTCGCATTCCTGGAGCGGTAACCTCGTTTCGTGCTCTGACTGGCAGCACTTCTGGCTCAACGAGGGCTGGACCATCTACCTCGAGAGGCGCATCGGCATGGCCATCCACGGCGACGCTGAGAGGGACTTTTCCGCCATCATCGGCTGGAAGGCTCTTGAAGATGCTGTTGATCTGTTTGGGCACGACCACGAGTTTACAAAGCTGGTGATTGAGCAAAAGGGCATTGATCCCGATGACGCCTTCAGCACTGTCCCCTACGAGAAGGGCTTCCACTTCCTTTACTACCTCGAGAAGCTCGTTGGTCGGGAAAGCTTTGACAAATTCATTCCCCATTACTTTACCAAATGGGCCAGGAAGTCACTTGATTCCTTCGAGTTCAAGGCCACCTTCCTCGACTTCTTTAACGGTTTGGGCGATGAGTCTATCAAGAACAAGGCAGCCTCCATCGACTGGGATACTTGGTTCTACAAGCCTGGTCTTCCTCCCAAGCCTGTATTCGACACATCTCGTGTGGATGTCTGCTACAAACTTGCGGACAACTGGAAGAGCGAGGTAAGTGCTAACATAAACACCCCCAATCAAGCCAGTGAGGGCAGACGCTAACGGGAATCAGGACTTCGAGCCCAGCCCCAAGGATGTCGAAGGCCTTACCGGTAACCAGAAGCTGGTTTTCCTGGAGGCGGTGGAAAAGTTCGGTCGGCCACTGACGCCCGAAAAGTCCCAAGCCATGGGCAAGGCGTATGCACTTGCTTCATCGCAGAATGCCGAGCTCAAGAGTGCGTACTACAAGATTGCGCTCCAGGCTAAGGACACCACTGCCTATCAAGGTGTGACCGAGCTGCTCGGCGTCGTGGGAAGGATGAAGTACGTGCGGCCGCTTTATAGGGCGCTGAACAAGGTCGACCGTGATCTCGCATTGAAGACGTTCGAGAAGAACCGTGACTTCTACCACCCTATCTGCAAGGGCATGGTTGAGAAGGACCTGGGGCTTGCTTGAAGCAAGTAGGTTTGCCGTTGATGATGGATCAAGATCTTATAATACACTACATCACAAGCTACGAAAGGCCCCAGCGCAGGGCTAGCGGACCTTGTGTTCACGATACAAGATGGCGCATCTGTGTGTACCATAGCCGCGGTGCTCTGATGTTCCTTTGCCGCGATGACAATAACGCAGTTGTCATGATTGGGCTGTAGATTGCAAATCTACATACGCTTGGCCTGGGAGTCTTGATACTGACAGATAAATGCGCGCGGCATGGCACCATCGGTGCTGCCACGAACCTGTCAGTATCATAGCACGTCTATCTCCAGCCTGTCTCTGCCACTGGCCCTGGTGCATGAGAGTCTGTTTATCTCAACAGAGTAATATTGAGCAGGGTTGGGGCAGCAGCGGACAAGACCGGCCGGACAGTTGCCACGCGAGCCATGACGAGGCGATATGTGCCAACTGTATCTTCTTTATTGTAAGCTCCTGCAAATGAGTCCAGGAGACAGCGTGCACAAGAGTAACAGAGATCGAGATGATCATTCTTTAAACTCATTCGTCAGCTCAACCGAACTGCCATGCTGCTCTCTGAGACAACCTCGATGATGGTACATTTATCAGGCAACATCTTTCAGAGAGATTGTAGGCAGACAAGATCTACATCGCTCATGTGGCACCGACTTGGCTGACTCCGTGGAAAAACGAGGGAGGCCCAGATACCACATATCGAGGAAAGCATCTCTGCAGGTCGGCCTGCCAAGGTACATATCTTGGAACTATACAGGCCCTCGAAAGACGGTCCCGGTCACTCCTAGTATCACGTTGAGCCATGTGATATTTCGCATGCAACGAGCATGGCCACAGAAACGAGACCAATTGCTTTGGTGCCTCTGACCATAGTACAAAGGTCGGTCAAAACAACTGATTCGACGACCAATACCATCATTGGTCTCTTCAAGTGCATTTCCAGTGGGACAGGCCACTCAGGATTATTTTTAACATCGCCACCTGCTTGCGAGACGCCGTTGCCGAAATTCCAAAAAGCCCAGCTCCGTCGAGGAAATGGTGCTCACAGCACATAACATGTCCCATCCGTCGTCAGGTCAGGCCAGGTATCGTACCCCGAGCAAGAGTGCCACCTAAGCCAGCCTCGCGCTCACATGTAAAATTTTCCTGAATCGCGGTCGCCGGACTGACTCAGAGATGAGGCGATGAGCGGGTTTCATGACCCTCAACACCATGGCACTTACAACTCTGCTGATGATAAAGCTTTCCTGGGCATGGCGTCTCAATCTCAATCCCCTGGGAATGCCGGATGATGCCGTTCAGGTGCGAGCCAACGCGTTCGTGAGTTCTTTCTACTACTACAGCATTCGCTGTCGACTTGCCTTGTCAAGATAGTAGGAGAATACGAGGCTCAAATGAGGGAGCCCCGCCTTACGCGATCTATCGAAAAGAAACATCCCGCCTCCCTTGCAAACGCTGACACGATACCCTCGCCGACATGTCGTCGCGTTGTACGTTGAAGCGGCAGGATATGCTCGTGCCCGCTTCTGGAACTTCCCTTCGAGGTTCAGACACATCATGTCTGCTCCATCTTCCAGTCGGGTCGGCACCAGACAGCAATCTCGCGTGTTACGAAGCTGGAAAATGACTGCATCTCCAGATCCCTGGCGGGAAACGACAACGCTTCCAGAAAGCTTCCCCCCCGCGCCGGAGATGCGCCTCCAAGCCCACTGTTCCCATTGCATCTCAATGCCCGTCCAATAATCATCATATCATCTCCGTGACGAGATAACTTCATCATTATCACATGCGACACCAAACTTCGTGAGCGATTCAGACGAGCCATTCCTTATCCAGCTGATAGTCTTCCGTGAATGGCCGGATACACTCCTGAGAGACCTGGTCGATCCTGAGAAAATCGAGCCGACCATATCGAGCGATGGGCAGCTGAACCCGCGAATGTGGCTGTGTCATCACCCGTTCGCGTTTCCTTTCCCCACACATTCAAGTTCCCCTTTGAGTAGTCAGACAATCTGCATCCACGGAGCACCGCACGCTTCGAGTATGGCCGCCTCGCGATTTGGCCCGTCTCGGTGCTCCTTCCACTCCCCATCGGTCCCATCATGGCCTGATGTTTCTACCATCCCGGCTCTACCACCACGGCGCGGCAGGTTTACCCACTCCTGTGAGAAACAGAGGGGGAAAAAAAGGTGGAAGGGGTCGTCATGGGTCCTGAGGCCCGGAGTGGCTGCGCTAGCACAGCACCAAAAAAGGGCCTTTGGGCATGTCGAAAGAAGCCATCAGAGGTCATCAGGCCAAAAATGGCGCTGCACGACGTCGGGACAAACAATGGCCCTATCATGCCTGCTTCGCGGAGGATTATCCGTGCTTTCCACGTTTCTTCCCCTTCGTCACCTCCGCGGCAAGACCCAGCGCGTCCCTCGCGCGGCGACTGACCCTGATACATGCGTAGGATCGTGAAGAACAAGTGCTCTACCCGGGGGCCCGCGCGCCGCGCACACCAGCACTGAGTTCCGGCCGAAGTCCATCGGAAGCTCCCTGGGCGGGCTTTGAGCCGGTTTTCAGCTGCACCATTTCTGGCTAAACAGGACCCTGGGTGGTGATACTTGGCGGTGCCTTGCGTCGTCTCCCCCGCATTGACAACGCATGAGGGTGTAGCATATCGTCCGAACTCCATGCCCCTGGTTTTTGGCCAGATCGCGCCGCGGTGGCGCGCAATCCGCCAGTCTGACCATCCCGGCCCAGCCACGGCGGCTGTTGCGCTTTCGAAGCTCTGAGCTCTCCTGATAAGCCAACATGGCTGCGGACGGCGCGCGATGAAGTGCAGGTCTGCAACGGAGCAAGGCGGCGTCAGGCGTTGCGGAAGGGTGTGGCGGACTTATTTTCGGCTCCGGCCCGTCACGATTGTGATGGGATTTTGGTGCAGTACAAAAGCAGCCTCCGCATCACCACTGGCGTTGAGAACCTACAGCTGGACATGTACCTCGGGCATGATGAACCGCGAGATGATAACCAGTCAGCTGCAGTACCGACGCCATGAGGCTGCTGCATGTTTCAACCTTGCACTCGTGAGGTATGTCGGCGGACATCGGAGAGAGCCTAAAGTGAAAAATATTCTGAAGACACTATACCTCTTGTCAAATCCGGAAATCTCGTCGTGGACTGTAACAACTCATTGACTCTGAACAAGTCTGTAATCCGAGACCAGAGGCCTCGATAGCAATTGTGCTGTACCACAGCCTGCCGCTCCCAACTCTCCCAACTCTCCCAAATGTCAGGTTGCTCCAGAGACACAGGTTCAGAGCTGCATGGTAGCTCTGCCAGCTCCCCTTGCCCCTCCCAAGCTTGCGCTTGGGTAGCTACTCCACAGACTGGAAGCCCGGAAATGAAGCTAACGCAGGCCCCTGTCTAGTACCGGCCGAGCGTCATCGACGGTGCTGGTCCATAGACCCAGGCAATATAGCTCAAGCGTCACGACGAACGTACGTACATGTCCAGTTCGAACTGCTCCGCGCTGCCGCTGTCGTTCGTGAACGCAACACCCGAAGCCCCAATTGTACCCAAAGGCAGCAAGGAATGGAATGAGAAGACAAACGCAGGCATACGTGCTGCACAGGCTGGCCTGATCATCAAAGGGACTGCGTTTCTTTACTTTGGCCAAAACTGGTACTGACCCCTGAAATGGTGTCCTGTACATGTCCAATTTGGACAACAACAGTCTCGTCCGACCCAAAGTTCTGCGAGTGCTGCTATTAGCTCTGACACTTGGCCGACCAAGCAAGAGACGCCTTTGATACCACGCACATGTCCCTGCGTCTGCGGGATGCTAAGGATGAGCACATCCGCTGTCAACCCACTCAATCGCTCTTACCTTCGTGCACGGGAGCTCTCCCGCATTTACCACACCCCTAACGTTACATCGCCACAGAGGGCGTCAACAGCGGTGAGACCAGAGGCTCGCAGACATCGACAAGCATGCACCTCATCACACGGGTTGCCAGACTCCGCGGCTGCCGCAAACAAGGTACACCATCGGGCAGTAGTCGCGATCCGGCCAGCATGCTCTTCGGAGTCCAGTCTCCCGCCTCAGCGTCTGTGTGAAACCTCACCTCAGTTTATTACCAAGGCAAGATAATGAATTGACCCTGGGTGCTAGGTTTGCTTGATGCAGTGCTGGCACCAAGAAGAAAATGGTGTGCGCTAGCATCGGAGGACAGATGAAACAGGTGGGCAGGGTTTTCTCAACAGCCCTCAATCACCTCACATGTTGGTTGTCGACATGGGTTGAAAATTTGCACTTTCGGGCCAAGGACCATATAACATAATAATGCCGAGCAGAACAGATTCTGCTGTATGCCAGATCGCCTGCGAACAGGTGGAAACCACATAAAAGATGGGACGGGAAACTTCCGAGTATCAGGGTCTCGGGCAGTTTCTGGAGCTTCGGTTAAGCAGTGTGTTTCACTTGACTGGTACTCGGCAGCTTGTTGTGAAAGATACTTATAAGCTGTTGAATGTGTTCATCATCTTGAGAGCTGTCCCAGAATTGCCTTCAAGGCCTCTCGTCTTTGCCTAACCGGAATTAGAATTGATGAGAGAGCAAATGCCCGAAGCCATTGAGACTTCAATTGACATCAAATGA